CAGGGATCCTTCAAACCCTGAAGGCAGAAGGTCTCCAGGTGTTTGGAGGGGGGGGGAACAGGTGCTCTGCAAATGTTTTCCATGTATTCCCCTGGGAACTGTGCTGAGCTCATGTGAGCAGAGCCCTGCAGAGCCTGAGCTCACCCAGCCGCTCTCCGGCGGGGCGGGAATGTCAGTCATTCCAATGTGCTGCGCAGTGGGATCAACCCACCATCCTTGGCATCTGCCTCCCTTCCCCCAGCCCATGTGACCATCTCCCCTGTGCAGAAATTCAGTGTCTGACAGTCATGGAGGGCACAAACAGCCAAGGAATTGAGCCAAGTGCAGGAGGAGGTGGGAGATGTTTCCCAGCTGATCTGTTCCTCCTGAGGGAGGACAGACCTGCTCCAGCATCTGCTCTCTGGTGCTTTGGAGCAGCATGTTGCCCACCTTTGTTGCTGTTCATCTCCCTTGAGAAGCCAGGTGGTCTGAGGAGCACGCCCCTCCTCCCTGGGCACGTTGCCTCCAGTACCACCCAGTGGTTCCCTCGTGCTCCAAGGCTGGAAATATGCTTTTAATAATGTGTCCATAAATCATTCTGTACAGAGCAGCTGGGAATAGGCCCAGAATTCCCAGGTACAGGAAAGCCTACACAGTGCTGATGCCTTCAGCTCACCTCATGAAGGGGGGAGGGCTACCAAAGGGCATTGCCACCACTGGGCACAACCCACCTTCCAGGGAAGCAAGGGTGGGATTCAGGGCCCTAAACTGAGATACCTGGTGCTGTGTGAGATACTCTGGGGTCTCCATAGGGCTGCCAGGAGCTACAGGATGGCTGAGCCTGCTGGAAGAGCAGCTGGAGCCCTGTTCTGATGGCATCTGCACCTTGGACACACCTTCCCTCTGTGAAGAAGACCAGGGGACAACCCTTGCTGCTCCTCAGGAGCAGGGGGAGCCATGAAGGCGATGCTGCTGGGCAGAGGTGACACGTGTGACCTGCAGTGGCAGCAGAAATCACCTAAAGCTGCCTAAAAAGAAATGTCATGTCAAAACAACCACATCAACGTGCATTTTTACAGCCCTCCCCAGATTTTTGTCATGGATTCCCCCACTGGAGTCACGCTGGGCTCTGACAGACACAGGATACAGCTCATGACAGATTGGTTGTTTAAAAGGTATCCTGTTCTCCAGCTCCAGTAATTTGGGAAGCTCATTCACAGCCGTGAAGGCTGTTAGCCAGCAATTCTCTGAGTCTGCAGGGTCTGCAGCCAGTTGGGGTTCCCTGTCCCTGAACATCCATCACTGTCACACCTCCCTCCTGCTCTGACTCCCAAATAACAAGTGATGGCACACTGGAGCAAAGCAAGTCCCCCCAGCTGCACATCAGGACAGATGCCCAGCAAAGAAACTGGTTGGGATCACTTTTTTTTTTTCCTGGTTTCACAATGGATTTTAGATTTTGAGCATGGGTTGGCTTCAGGGCAAGAGTTCCATGAAAAACAACACCCCATCCCTGCTGCCCAGGCTTTCCCATTCACCCTGTTCTTCCCATCATCTCCACGTGCTCCGCAGCGACAAGATTTTCTATCAAGAAAAGCAGAAAAAATATTAAAAATCACAGAGAAGAATCACCTGTGGCACAGTTTGGGAGCACAAAGCCCTTTTGCTGCCCATATCATGGAATCATAGAACCACATGTGTTGGGAGGGACCTTAAAGCTCATCCAGTCCCACCCCCTGCCATGGGCAGGGACACCTTCCACCAGCCCAGGTTGCTCCAAGCTCCGTCCAGCCTGGCCTTGGACACTTGCAGGGATGGGGCAGCCACAGCTTCTCTGGGCAACCTGTGGCCTCCCCACCCTCACAGGGAACAATTCCTTCCTAAAATCCAGCCTAAACCTGCCCTCTGCCTGTGTGAATCCATTCCTCCTTGTCCTGTCACTCCGTGCCCTTGTAACCAGTCTCTCTCCATCTTTCTTGCAGGCTCCCTTCATCTGGACATTTGAAGGGGAAAAAAAAAAAATATTTCCTGGCTGAAGGCTTTGCCTCTTCCCAGGGTGTTCCTTCGCCTCTGGCGCTCGGAGCAGTGACGGGAAAAGCAGCTGCTCGGCCGCGGGGTCTTCACGGAGGGACCTCGCCCCGACAACGAGAGGAGTTTTCACCTGGGTGCTGGAAACAATGCCATCCACAGAAGGCCACATTGTTACCTTGCCATTTGGAAGCAATTACCTGCATGTTACGTAAAACTTTTATTAAAGGACCGGAGAAATCCAGTAATGTGTTAATCACTGGGTGAGTGACATCTGCTCGGTGCCAGGCGTCCTGGAGCGGCGGGAGGAGGGTTCAGCAGTTCAGAGTGATTACCAAAACATATTGCTCCTTTTCTCGTCCTCCTACGTGTTAATTTTTCAGATTTATTATCTCAGGCTCCTGCCTCTCGTATTTTCCCTGCGTGTCAACATCTGTTACATCTCTGCCTTTCACAGCTCTTCAGGCTTTGCCCCCCCTGAGCCTTCGGTGCTCGGAGGAGAGACCCCGGCCAGTGCTCACCAAGGGCTTGGGCAATTTTCTAAACTAATCCAAAGCACAATTACCAGGGAAATTTGGCTCGTGGAGGCGTTCCTGGCATCAAAAAGGGAGCGGTGGATGGGCTCAGACCTAAGGAAACCAGGCAGGTTTAGAGCCAGACTTGGCTGTCAGGACAAGACTTGGTAAGTCTGGGGTGCTGTGAGGCTGCAGCTCTTTGAGAAACATGTGGTGGGTGGAAATGTGTCATGGAGAGATATTTGGTTCATTCCCACTCCTTCAGTTTGCTCATGCAAGCCTGAAGTAATTCCAATCAAACAACAAGCCATAAAATCCTCTGGGGATGCTCATCTTCAAAATCACAGAATCCTGGAATGGTTTGGGTTGGAAGGGACACTTTCCACTGGCCCAGGTTGCTCCAAGCCCCATCCAGGCTGGCCTTGGACATTTGCAGGGATGGGGCAGCCACAGCTTCTCTGAACAACCTGTGCCAGAGCCTTTCCACCCTCATAGGGAAGAATTTCTTCCATATATCAAACCTAAATTCCCCCTCTTTCAGTTAAAAGCAATTCCCCCTTATCCTGTTACTCCAGACCCTTGTCCCAAGTCTCTCTCTAGCTCTCCTGGAGCCCCTTTAGGCACTGGAAGTTGCTCTAAGGTCTCCCTGGAGCCTTCTGGAGCAATGCAGACAAGGAAAAATGGGATGTTCTGCCCAAGCCGTTGCAGTCAAGGGGCTCTGCTCATGTGTCTGATGCAGAAACATCCCTGGGGACCCCAGACCAGGCTAGCACCTCGGGCAAAGCTGGGTGATTGGGCACTTCCCAAAATAAACTCACCAGTTGTTTGGGATAGGATTCATCCCACTGGCTCCTCCTCCACCGGGGCCAAGCTGGGGTTCCCTTGGCTTCTGAGGAGAATGTGCTGAGCCTGGGGCTGGAGGGAGGGAACATCCTCGGAGTGCTGGGAGCCCTCTGGCTCTGCAGGTGGGTGTTCCCACACTCTCCCCACGATGGAGACTCCCGTAGAGGTGCTTCCTTTTGTGGGGGAAAGCCACGGCTCTGAGCTCATTGCCCCACATCCCAGGGATCAGCCCGAATCCCAGGGATCAGCCCCACATCCCAGGGATCAGCCCCACATCCCAGGGATCAACACTGGTGCTGCCAGATGGGCACAGACAGGCAGCTGCCCACCAGCCATCAAAACCTGTCCTAAAGCCATTGGGAGAATCCCTCTGGCTTAAATCATGCACTGGCCTGAATATATTAAATACTCTGTGTATATTAAATACCCTGCATTTATTACATCCCCTGTATATACTGAATACTCTGCATGTATTAAATACCCTGTATATAATAAATACCCTGTATATATTAAATACCCTGTATATATTACATCCCCTGTATATACTGAATACCCTGTGTATATTAAATACACTACATATATTACAACCCCTATATATATTAAACACCCTGTATATATTAAACACTCTGTATATATTACACACCCTGTGTATATTAAATACCCAGTATATATTACATCCCTTGTATATACTGAATACCCTGCATACATCCAGTATCTGGTTCAGTGGGACACTGGCTGTGGGTGGTGGCTGCAGGATGTGTTTGGGAGCAGTGGGAAGCACAGCCATGACACAGAATTTCACCCCAACACGACTTACTAGAAAAGCCTTTTGCAGGTAACTTCCAGGTGCTTCCCTGGATCACGTTCCAGGCAAACTCTGGAAAGCCAAAGGCTTTCTGCTCCCGACCCTCAAACCCTGCTCCTAATTTATGCTTTTTTTATTATTTTCTTCCCTCACCCGTGGTCTGCTCCCCCGATAAAAATTACAGTTTCCATGTATCATTTTTCCAAGGGTTGCTACAAATCCAGCTTGTCCCATCCTTCCCACTTCACCTACACAAACTCTCTGCCCATCTCCCTCTGCAGGTCGTGTTACTGCTGTGCCCTTACACATCCCCTTCCCACAGCCTTTTTGGAGAGGGGGAAAAGTGAACAATCAAATAATCCCCAGGTCCTGAAATCTTTCCAGGCCATCTCCAAAGCTGCAGCGTGGTTGGTATTCCACATGAATAAAACTTGTGGGTTTTAATGGTGGAACTTCCTGATTTATTTCCTTTTTTTTTTTTTCCAAATAAAATGCTTTCATTTTAATTGCAAACAAATTATTTGAAAGTAATTAGCAGCAGCTGGGAGAGGCAGGAGTGACACTCCCTGTCCTCATAGCCCACAGGACCAGGGGTCACTTCAGGATGCTCCTGCCTGTTTTCTCCCAAGTCATTTCCAGATTTAACTTCCCGAGTGTTTGAGCTATTGAACCATTCCTGCTCTCCAAAAACAGCTGATGGAAACAAAAGACTTTCCTGCTTGTTGTATTCTGTCAGTAAATCCTCCTTTTTCTCCATCTGGGAGCACAACTTCCGAATTTTTTCCATGAACAGAAGAAAAAAGTCAAGTATAGAGTGGTCAGTACCTGGCATGGGAGTTTGCAGAACCAGTTTCAGGAGGAAAAAAAAGGAATTTTTGCTGAATCCTGGAATGGTTTGGGTTGGGAGGGACCTTAAAGCTCATCTCATTCCACCCCTCTGCCATGGGCAGGGACATTGGACCAGGTTGCTCATGGCTGAGCTTCTTCCAAGCCTGAACACAAGGAGAGAAGACAGTTAATGCCAACATGAAAATGTGACCAATGGAGAGGAATTTTTGGGAGACCCTACTTTAGCCTTTCTTTTTAAATCCAGCACTTAAAGATGCTGCTCTGTCTTAAACATGATTTTAAAGCACTAAGCTCTGGCAGTTCTACCCTACAAATGTGTGACCTTGGATGACACCGATCTGCCAAAAAAGGAGGGGGGAAAAAAAAAGGTGTTGCTGATATTTATTTATTTTATGCTCCCATTCCTCATCCATCATCAGGTAAATTCGCTCTTGGCAGCACCAGCAACTTCCTCAAAGGCAGCCAAGGTGACCACTAAAATTAGCATCAAATCCCCAGAACGCTTTACATCACGTACACGTTATTTTTCACTGGACATAAATTGTGAGGTGCTTGGCTTTTGTTTGGAATCCCCACGGGGTGGGGTTACCCCGGGCATCGCTCCGCACCGGGGACGGAACCGGCCGAGGCGACCGACTCCAAACGTGGAAGGGAAACGTTTTTATTTCGCTAGAGAAACGTTCTCAGTCCTCCCCGAGATGACAAAAACGTCTGCAGAACCAGCACTGCCCGAGACCTCAGACAGTAAAACTCAATTTTCATCCTCTCTCATAAATTTTTTTCTGCTTAATGAGAAGTCCTGGAGGAGCCCATTTCCCTGTCAGAGCCAAGGAAAATAAACGTGTGCGTGGTTAAACGGGAATGGGAATGACCCTTCCCTGTCCTGGAGCTGTTAAACAGCTGCATCCACAGCCCTGCTGGATCCTCCTCCCTCCCTCAGCCCCAGCTGGGGGAGCACAGGATGCTCTGGCAAAGGGGGATTTTTCATCACAGGATCACTGAGGTTGGAAAAGCCCTCCGGGATCACCAAGTCCCCCCTGTGCCCCTTTCCCACCTTGTCCCCCAGCCCAGAGCACTGAGTGCCATGGCCAGGCCTTCCTTGGGCACCTCCAGGGATGGGGACTCCAACCTAAGCTGGATGGGCTTTTCCAACCTAAATGATTCTGGAATTCTCATCCTAAGGCAAGACTTGGAGCAGAGAAGTGAAACCAGGCAGGTAGTGCTGCTGGGAGGAGTAATTAGTGAAATGCTCATGGAGAAGTAGCATCATCCAGGGATTTCCCAGCTCACCTGGGCAGTGTCCGAGGTTGGAGAGATGGAGAACAGGGAATGGGGCACCTGATTGTACCTGAGCCTGGAGAAGGGCACTCAGGACTTGCTCCATGACAGGATCCAATGTCCACAGACCTCGTCCTTCTCATCCTCCTTGTCCTGCGAGGGAGCTGCAAAAATAAAAGTGGGGGAAAAAAACCCCATCAGCAATGGGGAGGTGGAAATTCCCTGCAGGGATAACACTGACTGTCTCAACATCCCTGGGATTGCCCAGAACGGTGGGTCCAGGTAGAAACACAGAGTCATCATGGCTTGAAGAGACCTCTGAGATCATCGAGTCCAACCATAAACCTTAAAAATGTCAGAGTGCCAATTAGCTAATGAGCCAGGGCCTTGTTAATTATTGCTAAAGGGGGCTGGGGAGGGGGTGCACTAGAGGGCACTGTCGCCTGCAGATCCTCACAGGGAGGACACAGAGGATTTTTAAAGATGTTGTGATAACCCCCCTCTGCATCCTGACCTTTGGGGTGAGTGACTGGGCCACTCCTTTGTAAAAAAATTATATATATATATATATATTTGAAATATATATATTTAACCCCCCATATATATATCACATAATATCATATATTTTATATATATCCCTTACCTATATATTTATTTATTAAATATAAGGATATTTCATATCATATCATAATATAATATATTTAAAAAATAATCTGCTCAGGCTGCTGAGAGAGGCTGTGGGAGATCTGTGGGTGCAACATCCAAACCTTTGCTCCCTGAATGTTGCAATAACATGTTTTTTTTAGCATGTTTCAACCCACTCAGTCTTGTGCAGGGTCCAAAAGTAGCCAAGGAATTTCCTGGGCTAGAGAGGGTCAGCCCTTTGGAGGGTGCAGCAGAGCTGTGTGTCTGGATTCCTCCTTTACAGGTGGGATTTGTTTGGGATTGTGCATCAGAGTGACAGTGAGAGGGGAGGGAGGCAGAGGGGTTGCACGTGGAAAAGTCATGGAGCGTGTGCTCGCAGGCAAAAAAATCGCTTGCTAAAGAAAATAAATGAAGAAAAAGGCAATTTTCCCCCTGCAGCACATCCTGCCTGGGCTGGGAGCAGGGGCTGTGGTGGGAGCAACCAGGACTGGATGGGAGCAGCTCCGATTTCCACGGATGAAGCTGCAGGGACACAGACAGGACAGAAATTCCCCGTCTGGAGTTCAGCCAGGACCGGCTCCGGCTGCCACCAGGCTCCGAGCAGGGGCTGGTTGGGATTTGGGGTCACACCAGCCCTGTTTGCAGAGGGAAAGATTAAAGGCCTTGTGGACTCCTTGGAAATCCCTGGTAGCAGCAGCTCTGGGGACTGGAGTCAAATCAACCCCAGATTGACACCGACCATTAGCGGAGACATTCAGGGGAAAAAAGAGGGAATATTTCATTTGCCTCCCGGAAATGGCGATTCCCGAGTTCCCAGTGAGGCTGGAGAGGGTCTGTGGGCTGGGACATTCCTGAGTGACCTTGCTGCTCTCTCCCCCCCCCCCCCCCTGAAATAGCCATAAAGGCCAAAGGGACAGAAAAATTCCTGATTTGGATCACGAGACATCCCATCTCACCTGAGCTGCACCTCTGGAATTTGGGGACACTGGGAATAGCTCCAGCTCAGCCTGCTCCGGATCCGAGGTCTCCCGGGAGAGCTCATGCTGTGGGTGAGGAGCTGCTCCCACACAGACCCTGTGGTGGAGCATCCCTCAGGAGACCACAGCTACCCACACACTGCACACCCCCACTGCTGGAGCCAATCCCAAACTTCCCAGTGTTTGCTCTGATTAAATGACCACAGGAAATGAACTTCCCACCCACCTGGAGATTCCTTCAGGAATGCTTTCGTCGGGGTGTGGAGGGTGATTTTACAGGACGAGTGCAGGCAGAAGAAGGTATAAGGTTTCCATGGAAGCCACATGTTCCTGTTACTGGTTTGAGACCCAGCAAAACTGGAAGAAATAGTTTTTTGGGGAGGGGACCCCCAAGATGGCCCCATCAGCCTGGTGCACCTCCCCACCCCCAGCCAGCAGATCTTATCTCCCCGAGATTTATTTCCAGTCCTCTTTTCAAGACATGATGTCAGGATTCTAATAACCTGACTAAGGCAAGCCCTGGATGGAATTACCATTGTGTTTATCAATTTCCTTCTTCTTTTTCTTTTCTTGTCTCGATTAATCATGGAACAGCCCGATGGAAAAGTCCTGTTAGGCCGAGCTGCCTCCCAGCCAAGGCAGGCCTGGTCCCTCATCCCCCGTCTTCTGTTTCATCCAGGGCTATTTTTAAAAACTCCCCGGTGACGAGACTTCTTGAATCACAGGAGCGAGAAATGGAAAAGACCTATTAGCTCATGCAGTCTGTCTGCTGGCCAGAGCAGCCCGGGCCCTGCAGCCCAGTTTTTCGTGGTTTAGCTTCCACCTTTGGTTCCCTTGGGAGATTTTCCTGCTGGCAAACAGGGCCCGTGCTCAGGTTTGTGCCTGATGTCATGTTGGAAAGGGAAAATGCCCAACACTGGCCTCAGCTGGCTGAGGGGTTTAAGGCTGGTCTGTGGGATGGGGTCAGGGCGAGTGGGTGGGCACTGCCCTGCTCAGACCCCGGGGTGCTGTTCCTTGGGCATCCCTGGGAAGGGACCTGTCCTGCTCCAAATCCTGCAGCTTTCCCTGAGCTGATTCCATGCTGGCTCTGGGGCTCATGAACAAGATGGACAGACCAGCTTTGGACAGGCTAATTAGCCCTGCAGCACCCCTGCTAATTGGTTTTTAGGTAGAAATGGCACAGATCTGCCTGCAAACATCCCTTCATCCCGAGAGCCTCCTGCACCTCCACATGGTGCCCACCTGCAACCCCCCAGCTGTGCTTCCCCCAGGATGATCCCTGAGCACCATGGGGGGAGCTTGGATGGTGCTGGGGATTCCCATGGGTGCTGAGGGTTCCCATGGGTGCCAGGGGCTCCCATGGGTGCCAGGGGTTCCCATGGGTGCTGGGTGCCCGTGACCTGCCCACCTAAAACACCCAAACCACGAGGTGCCCTCGATGCCTCACGGTTCTGGGCTCTGCCCCAGCCTTATCTGCCTCGAGTAATCACAAATAATTGGTGGCTCCCCAGTGCACTGATCTAATAGCAGCACGAATAAAGTTATTTTGAACAGTTGTTCATGAGTTCATCTCCTGGAAAGCCTCAGCCCCAGCTGTTGCTGTGCTTTTGATTAAAAAAAAAAATAAAATAATATATTAAACTCAACCCGGGGATTATCGGGGCTAAGCACGTCTCAGCCCTCCCTCCTCCCCGTGTCAGGTGCCCGGCCGGGCTATAAACCCCTCTTTGTGTGCGGCTCCCTCGCCCCTTTCTCCCGGAGCTGGCAGCGGCCCCGCCGGGATTTGGCAGCTCTCCGGGATGCCAGCGCGGGGTGCTGGCAGTGCCGCCGGCTCGCGGGTGCCCGGGCCCGCCTGGCAGCAGCTTCAGCATCCAAATGGTCGCCCAGGCCTCCGGCCAAGTCCATTTGTTAATGGTCAAGCTATGGGGAGCTGTTCGGGGAGCAGCAAATTGAATTAGGCGCGAGCAGGGAAAAGGGAGGCAGCGAGGGAGGGAGGGGGGGAGCGCGGGTGGGATGGGGAGGAACCGTGCGGGTCTCCGGCCCGGAGAAGCGGGGATGGCACCGAGGGAGCTCGGGGACAGTGTGATGGCGAGGGACCTGCAGCAAACACGGGCACAGACGTGTCCCCAAAGTGGGGGTGTCACATCTGGGGCAGCTGAGCCCCGGCATCCACACAGAGCCTGTGGAGCAGCCGGGCAGTGGGATGGCCCTGGAATCAGGGACCCACAGCCCGTCCCTGCAATAACCCCCTCCCAGGGACGTGCCTGTCACCCCGCGCAGGTGCCCGGGGACCCTCCCAGGACACCTTCCCGGTGTCCAGCTCCTGCTCCCAGCCGGCCCCATCTGGTTGCTGCCACAGCAGACTCGCATCAGCCTCGTCGCTCCAGCTCCCAAGCTCTGCAGGCTCCAGGCTCTGCTTTTCAACCACCCCAATCTCTGTCCTGATCTCTCCGAGAAGGCAGGAGAGCGTAGGATGGGAATGTCCCCTCTCCCCTCTGCAGAGGTGGCCGCAGGACCCCGGGCCGAGCGCGGGGCCAGGCGTGGGAGCTCAGCTCCAAGGAATCAGCGCCGGAGCAGCTCGTCTGGCTCCTCTGCCAGAGCAGGGATGAGTTCAGCTCCCACCTCCTGCTCCAGGCCTTGGCCAGGACAACCTGTGCTCTGGCAGCAGCGGGTTCAGGATGGATGGGAGATGGTGCCTTGCCCCCCTCTCCCCAACACTCCTGTGCCCAGGGCAGCTGTCGGGATGGGGGGACAGCGGTGCCACAGCCTCCTCCCCCACCAACATCTGGGTGCACTCGGTCTGATCCCAGCACAAAATCCAGCTGGACACACGTCCCAGCAGCTGGACAGACACAGACACAGGATGGGGGGGGTCACCCCCTTCCCACATCAGCTCTGCTCTGTCTGACTGCAAAATCCTGCACCCAGACCCCTCTGGAAGGGCTGGATTAGCAGCCTGGAGGTTTGGAGAAATTCCTGCTGAGGCAGAACAAGCAGAGAGGGCCTGTCCTGCACACTTGGGATGTTCTTGCCGAGCTGGGATAATTAGAGAGAGGACACGGACAATAAGGAGGAGTTTCACACTTAACTTCCCTTGTCCAATCAATTAGATAAGAACAGAGTTATTCCACGCAGCCACCCGAGGAGGTCCCTCCTCCTCCTCCTGGATAATGACAATTTTAAAAGCAGAGCAATAAACCCACACCAATAATTGTCCAAAGACTGGGAAAACTTGGGAGCAATGCAGTGAAAAAGGGAAAATGGGATCAAAAACCAGCAAAAATGCCTGATAGCACCAAATCCTCAACATATTTAAGGCTGAACATGCAGAATATTGTCTTAAAATTAAACTATAGGGTTGAAGATAAGGAGATGGGCAGTTGGTCATCGCTGTACCAATTAAGATATTAATTCACAATCTCTGAGTCTTCTTCTCTAATTCTCTTCCCTGTTTCTAAACTAAAGACACTGTACCAAAGCAGTGCAGGTTTCTGGAAGCCAGTTCCACCCAGATCCCCCCCTCTCCTGGCTTTCTCCCCATGGCTCTTATTTTCCTTTTCATCATCAGCATCTAAACATCTGGGTCGTGGTGGAGCTTAGAGCTGGAAGCGACACAATATAGTGAGAAAGGATGTTTTTGTGCTATTTCCAACCTTCCCAGAACAGAGACCTTCAGAAAGCCCCTCACAAAGGCTGCTTTCTTCCTCCAGCTACTTTGAAAAGCTGGGTGAGATCCTCGGTTATCTGCCTAGACCAGGGTAGTACAAGACAGAGACGATCAAAAAGGAGGGGGAAGGGGCGACAAAAACCACGGCCAAGTGGTTTTTTTGGTGGTTTTGTTTGTTTCTTTTTAGCTTCTTTTGGTTAAAACTGGAGTTTTGGAGCAGCTCCAGCCTCCTCTGTGCTGGGGGATGATGGGGGATCTGACTGATTTACTGAAGATCCTCACTGATGTTAAAATTCTGCTTTTTCCCCATATTAGAATTTCTCTTTTTTTGGATAAAATGGTGAATCAGAGTAAATTTGGGGGGGGTTAAAGAAGCTTCACTGCTCAGCACACCCTGGGCTCAGCTGGTTGGAAAAACCAGTCCCTCTGAGCATCCCTCCCCAGCAGCCAAAATCCTTGGGTGAGCTCAGTGGGCACCAAGGCTGGTTTGGGAACGGGGCAAACTGTCCCAGTTTCCCTCCTCCATCCTGAAATGCCCTCTGAAGAGAGGAAGGGTCATGATTTGGATCTCCTTGAACTCTGCCCCAGGGGTGAGGGTGATGCTCAGCTCAGTCCCTTCTCCCACCCACTCGGGTGCTCCTGCGCCTGCAGGACAGACCCAACGCCCACACCAAAAATGATGGGGGTCCTGCTCCTTCCTCTTGTCCCATCCTGGGTCCAGAGGTTCCTCTGGCTGCTCCGAGGAGCTCACTTGGAGCCAGTTGGAGGGGCTGCCAGCGGGAGCGGCGCTGCCAAGCGCGACGCGCTGCGGTTCTTTCAGAGGTGGAGTCTGTCTGCCCAGCCTGGCTGGGGCTCAACTATGTCCCTGTGATCTCCACCGACGCTTCACCTCCTTCCACACATCCCCCCAGCTAATCCCCAGCTGCCCAGGGCCAGGCCTCCATTTTCCAGTTTAGGAACTGGATCCTCTTTGCCTCCCCCCCGCCCGCGGGCGAACGTTTGTGCAGAGCAGGTTGTCCCCACAGGGAAAGTTCCTGTCCTGATCTCTTCCCCCCCTTTTTCTTCCTGCTTTGCACACCAGAACCAGAGCAGAGCTGAACAGCAAAGTCCTCTCCTTCCAGCTCCAGCCCTCATCCATCCCCACTGGACTCGGGCTCACTCCCTCAGTCCTTGGAGACTGAGCTCCATGTTCTCCCACAGCACTGGGAAGGCTCCCGGCTGCATCCCCTCTGCTCCCTCTCCCACCTCATTCTCCCTTTTGAGGTATAATCCCCTGTCAGGAATGCTTGGAAACGCCAGGTTTTGTTGCCATACAAAGCTGCATCCCAGAGCTGCTCGAAGCATCACCCAAACAGCAGGAGCAGGGACAAGGAGAAAGGGACAACACGGATAAAGTCCCTCTGGGAGAGCTTCTTATGGTCCCAAGGATCCTCACAGTGGAACCCACGTGTAGAACCAGCCAAGCCTCCCCACGGCACCTCAGCCCCTGCCAGAGCCATGGGCCAGTCCCTGAGGGTGAAGGACCCCCAGGAGGGCACAGCACCACCAGCACATCCCTGGAGAAGAGCACAGGGATTCAGGGAACACGAGTGGGGCAGTTCTAACACTATTTGGCAGAAGAAAGCACCCCCCCCTCCCTGCCAGGGGTCCCTGCCCACAGCAAGCCCAGGTACCAAGTGGGCAGGGACGTGGAGAAGCCCTAACCCAGCCCCAAAACCACCTCAGCACCCGAGGTTCCCACTTCCCAGGTACTGGAAAACCAGGCACCACGGCTTTTGTAGCACATCCCTTCCTGCAGGCAGCCCCAGAACATATTTTATCACACACATAATCTCACAGGAAAAAAAAAAAATCCCCTCGTCTCTGAGATTCCCAGACAGTACACTCAGCATCCTCATGCTACTGATGTCATCCTGCAGGAAGGTCCCTTGGGCCTGGCCTTGCTAAGCCAGAGCTGCTCTGAGCCCTCACCCACACACAGAGGTGGGCAGCCCCCACG